AAAATGCTCGAGCAACGACGCAATGTGGACTGTGTTGTGCTCATATATAGCTTATGTGCAAGTGGTGCTCTAGGCCTTTAAAAGAGGGCTATGCGGTTTTCTCAGCGTTCTTACCCTCTCATCCTGGAATTATCTGCATATCGCACAACATGCTAACGATATTCTCCGTTCTTTAACCGTATTGCCCACCTAGCAGTAGCATCCTCCAACGTACTTGATGTCGAACCTCCACAAACACTACACAAGCCCTCCTCTTCTTCTACTTTCTCTTCCTGTAATCCTTTCTGATCATCACCTTGTCCATATACGGAACATCCCCTGGATCGCCTTGAGCTACTTCTTCTAATTCTCTTAGACGATATCGATTTACGCAAGTAGGCTTTTGCGAATTGAGGACATGGATCATATCTACAAAAACTTCCAATGTTTCTACCAAGAGTGTCAACTGCATGCATAGACTCAATGACACACGGCCCGACAGACAGCTTAATCAAATCAGAAATTCATGCTGATCAAGAATAAATATATTTTACAGGGTCTCGGAAACTTCTTTTGTGTGTTGCAAACATTATGACAAAATGACCCACTCTCCAATTGTGGGTATAATAAATGTTGTTGGACTTATATATAAAAAAAAGTCTTTAAGTTTTCTTTCCATGGCAAGCTGGATGTTATTTATTTGCCAATGACTGTATACGTATCTCTTATGGACGTTTCTAAAATTTTTCCAACTCTTATAATAAGAAAAAAAGTACAGTATGGACAGTAAAAAAATCGATCCAGTCAGAAAGCACTTTCTTTGTTGTTTTAGTAAATTTTTTTTTTCGAGTTTGTAATCATTTTGGATTTTTGTTCGCGCAGTTTCTTAACAATTAAAAAAACAATTTTACCACAAAAATATGGAGCATCGTTTGGCGAAAACTACTGTAAACAAACGTAAGCGAAACTAGTTTTTGTAAAATGGAAAAAAAAAAAAATAATGTTAAAAAAGTAAAAATAAAATAAACAAAATAAGAAGAAAAAGTCCCTTAACGGTTGACTGACTCTATAGCTGGTGCACACATACTTTTAATAAACAAATTTTTTCTTCTTTAATAGACGTGAAAAGTTTATAAATAAAAATATAAATATAAATAAAAAAGAAACCAACTACCCTTACAATTATTATAATTTAAATAAAAACTTTAAAGTGCCCATCAAACTTGCGCACTTGATATGAAAAAGTTTTAACTAACAATAACAACAAAAATAAAAAATTCGCTGATGTTTGCATTAAATGTCAAAAGCATAGTAAATCAATAAATAAAAATAATTTCCTTTGCAACTGGAATAACCCAAGAAGAACGATATGTGTGCTAACAAATTAACGCGACTATTAAATACTGCGAATATGCATTAATTGTTAAAACTATTTGTGCCTATAAGAATCAAGTTATACTAAGTTCGATTATCTGCTTTTAATATATATATTTTTTAAACAGTGCGATATGCCGAGCAACGTCACGTCTTCCGCCCATTTGTGCTTTATTGTGACAATTTCCCCAAAATCGTCAAGCATAGATTCTTTAGGCAATGTCCGCAAATCCAATTGGAACGGTTCACAAAACTTGATCGTGATAGCCCGACATTACAAAATAATAGAAAATTTCTATACATTTTCTTATCGTTAATCCATTTTTCTTTTTCAAAAATATACGAACTGAAATTTACGCCGTTTGGCGGTCGTCTTGTCCACTGTCCACAAAATGTAATTTGACAGAGGTGAAGAGTGAACAATTCTTGTTTATTATATTAAGTGTAGGAGGGTATAGTAAATTATTAATTTTATCATTTCAACTGTCAGATATCATCAAGTGTACTATTGTGATCGGAGAGTATTAACATTAGGTTTCCTTCAATACGAAGGTGCAATAGAAAACTACTACTCCTTTAGATAAGTCTTTCTTTTAAAGTGTTATTCTTGGTTAAACACGATTTTCGAAAATTACTTAATTACAGATAATTGTCCACTTTCAAATTGTCCACAGATCAAATTGCCACGCCCATATTTAATATTGCAAATATTTTGCAATATTAATGTGAATGTAATGTGTGTCAGAAAGTTGACTTGAGATGAATTTCTTGATCATTTCTTATATGATTTTTTTTTTTTTCTTTTTGATTACTTAAATCATTGACAGGCAGACACTTTTGCTTTTGCTGTCTGTGCGATATTTCTTCATCATCATTAAATAGTGTGCGAAAATTTTACGAACAATTGTAAAAGAAAGAAATTGTTAAACATTTAATTTCAAATATATATATATATATATATATATATATATGCTTACGTACATTAAATAATTATGCATACCACTTATATGCATATATATATGTATATGAGCTGAAAGGATGTGTAAAGTACAACTCTTTTGCATATTTCTTCTTAGCAATAATGAGAAGCGAAAGTCAATGTGCGTTGTAGTAGAAAACTTTTATTTTCATTTAATATCTTCCACTTAAAATACATTGGTATGCGTGGGCATATAAAAGCATTGTCTATAAAATTTCACATACAAGCACAAATAATAAAAAAGATCAACATTTTAATCAACACTTCATTATCATCCTCATCATCTGTTAGTAACATTAAAACTCAACGCAATACATAAAGTAAAGTAAAGTGCAAGTAAAGTGCATTACACAACATACTTCGTTAAAAATATCGTAAGCTAACGCAAACACTTAAATTATAAGCAAAAATAAATTCATATGCATTTATGTGTGAACACAAGTTGTGTTATTAGCAATTATTCAACAATGTTTAAGAACATTGCAGGGCCTGTGAAATGTCTAACAAACAACAACAAATGCCAGTTATTAAGAATCTAAAGAGATCAACTTATTATATACATTAACAGAAGCCGGTTTGCATCAACTAAAAATGTATATACGTATATATGTACATGTACATTATTACATATCTCTCAACATTTATATATACATTTCCAAATGTATTTGTATCATGTACCTTAACTGCACACACACACATGTCTACATTACATTTTCTATAAGTGCAACGCCATTTACTTTTATGTTTCGATTTTGTTTTTACTTTTTTCATTATAAGTTTCAGTGACAATAACGACAGCAACAATAACGAAAATGCAATCCCAGCAAAACAAAGTTTAACACGTTTTGTTTTACTATACTAAAAGTTACATGTGCGATATATATATATATATATATATATATAGTGAAAACGTTATAATAGAAAAACAATGAACAGGTAAGTGTTTCCAATTATTCGCAACTTTATCCGTTTACTTGTCTATTTCTATTCTCCTTACCTCTTTGTTTTACTCTATATTTACTTACCATATTTATGAATAAGTCATAGTGTACAAGTATTTTTGTCTCGCGATTTGCGCATTTAAACCACTTACAGCGCACTTGATCGTTTATAAGATTTGATGTCGAATTCATTATGCCTAGTCCGTAAATAGGTGAGGCTCACTAGCACATGCTCAACTAAACAGCTAAAAAATTTTGTAACAATTCCTCTAATTTCAACGTTGGATAAGGGACTAGTGTCTACGTATTTTCGACTTTTAAATCGAAAAAGAAAATCTGATATATATATAAAGACCTCTATACATATTTTATGGTTGATTACAACGATCAAGGGAGGGAATAGTCGCCGTATGTGGGCAAGGAGTTTGCAAGTGCACGTCTATCGAGCGCCGTACATACATACAAGTCCAAGACCGAATAGTTAGGAACATTGAAAAAGCCGAATAATTAGATGAATTAATTGAAGGATGAATCCCTTTTTCTATGATTTCCTGATTCTTGAAGATAATTGCATGATAGGGATAATAAAAATGTTACCTAAGTTCACGTTAGTTGTCTGAAATGAAATTTTGAGAACGTAGTAGTGTTTGTTCACAGCAGATATATGAATTCCAAGCAATCAATTAATTGTGCTTCGCTTTATTTCGTTCAATTAAATTTTTATCGTTTTTTTTTTTAGAAACAACACAAATACCTCACGTACGGCTAACGATTCTCACTTTAACAGAAATTGCAGTTCGGTTTCTCATTCTCATAAGACTATACATATATGCTTTCTAAATCTTCGAGGCATGGTTTTAGACGTTTTAAATGACTGAGAATATTTTAGGTCTTACTCTTTAATAATTTACTATCCATAGCAGATGTCAAGCTAGAAGTTGGCGAATGGACAGGTCCACAATTAACAAAAAATTAAGGCAATCGATAAACGAAATTTTGCCTTGGCTTCTTTGCGCTTCCTAATGGATAAGAATGTATTAGTTTTATGAAAGCGTATGCACTAACAGAGTTACCGGTAAAAGACCTGGTGCAATAGAAATATCGCTAATCGCAGTAGTGAATCGTCCATGTCCGCCATGTGCCTCTACGTTGAAATTTAACATTCGAAAAGTGAAAAGTCAAAAGCTCCTGACGAAAGTGCATAAATCGTGTGTGGAACTGTCTCCCACGACTAAAACTATTACAGATATTAAAGTGCTAAGGAAGAGTTAAAGTTTACGCTTTTATTACATGCCATTAAGAGTACATTATGGCTTGCAAAAGCAAGGCATGTGAAATTTGGCCGCGACAAACATATCAACCTAAACCGGGGCTGAGCTTGTTCACAATCGATTGGCTGTCATCAATCCTTTTCGTCTATAGTCGCCCCACAGCAACTTGGGCATGTCCCCAACTTAATGCAGCAATTCACATGAAAGGTTTTCAACGAAATGTTAAACAAACTCAACATGACTGTTGGGCAACTCGTTACCTAACTCAAGATTTTTTGCTGATATCGATGCACATTCATTCATCATTCAGGCTATATTGTCAGAGTTTTGCAACTAACTTAGCCAAAGTTAATTTTATTGATAGCCCCTCGATACCTACTTAACCTGATATTTACATATACGCCGTAGATAGTGAGAATTTTATTCGTTTTTAATCAAGATTAAAACATGGGAATAAATTAAAGCATTGCAAGCTTCTTTATAAGGTCCATCCGTCCATCCGAATTTTATACGAAAAACAAGCTTAAATCTTCGCTGCTGCGCACCCCGTTCACGAACATGCTCATGCTAATCATCGATCGTAATAAGTGGAGAAAGAAAGAAAATAAAAACAAAACAGAACTCCATGAAGGTAAACTTTTTTGAAATAAAACATAAAAAAATTGGAATTAGAAATCCGTGTAAAATTGAATGCAACTGATACGAATGGGAAAGCCATTTAAAAGTTCATCTCTGGCCGGTCAATCCTCTCGCAAACAATAAAAAAGTTAATGATTTTTATTTACAATAGTAATTGCTTAAGAGATTCACATATTATGCAGGTTTCTCTTTACGAACCGAGCATAATTTCTTGTTTATATTTTTCTTATTAAAAGGTTTATTGACTTTACAGATTAACGGAAATACGTAACGAAAAAAAATCTCTAAAATTCCCATAATTTATAAAACTCAGACAATTGTATATAAATAAATGAAGTTGTTTGATTCGAACAACATCGGTGTTTAACTTTGTGTTTTATAATATTGCATTATCTGAATTAAAAAAAAAACAAAAAAAAAGAAAGAGTAAATAAACTTTTCTCAATTTATTGCGAAATATCTCAAATAAGTTCAACCAAAACAAATATTAGCAAAGTAAAGAAAACAAACCGCAAGTACTTGTTAATACTTAATGCCTTTCATAGGCATTTATAAATCATGTTTTCATACTTGTATCTAATTTCAATAATAATAAATTAACAAATTTACTCATAGTGTTAAAAATCTATATAAAAATCTATATAAAATATCAAATAATCAGGCAATAATATCTGCCTGTAAATTTTGGGGTAAAATACCTTCAGTAATTACATAACAAATAATTGTATTACGTTCGCCAAACAAAACTTTGATTCTAGCGGTTTTGATTATTTCTTGGGGGCATTTCCTATTTTAGAATTTTGTCTAAATCGTATGCGATAACAATATAATTTTGTTGTGATCCTGTCGTTAAAGCCGTAAATCGTTAAGGAACCCATGAGGCCTTATAAGCGGCACGACACTTTCATTAACCTTTTAACATTAAAGTGCGTGGGATGGTGGGATGGTGCTCACCGCTAGGTCCAAGCAATATCTGATACGTATAAAAAAAATAACAAAACCGTTTTTTTCCCGCCCTATACCATGTAAGCACTATTAAGGTGAGGGCAAGAAAAGATATCCAGCGTCCATTGGTCCATTAAGGGTTTATATGATGTAGCGTACCATCGATAAAACGCCAACACTACACTGTACATGTACGAATGGATAAATGGATTAATCGTTTCTAGACTTGGCATTTTTGCATAAGTCAATAGTTGACGTACATAAATCATCTGAGAATCTCAAACTGGTTAAGCTATGTTATTCAACTATTGTTTGTTGTTGAACAGCGAAAAAGTAAATAAATTTTTATGCGCTTAACGGCTAATGGTTAGGTACAAAATTTACCTAAACTATGAAAATATTATTATTGTTGATTGCAAAATTAATATGAACACTTACTTGTTAGATAATCTAAAAAAAAAAAATCGAGTTTAATAAATTTACATAGCATAAGATACAATCAAATATTAGTATACGCATATGTATAAGAAGATGTAGCAGTAACTAGCCCCAAGTATGGCTATTCGTGAACATGTAAAGCATAAATGAAATGAATTGTCATCTATTGATGACTTTTTCAAACGCTAACCGAGATCCTGTGTCACATTCATTACTTAGCTTCCTTGGGGAGACCACAATAGGCGATTGGATGAGCCGAGCTTTTTAATGAAGACTTTGATCTAGAAGAATCTTTTGCGTCGACAGACAGCTGTTGATATGAACTAAAACTAGGATTTTTTAAACACTTCTAGAGAGCATTTAATTATAGGAGACAGCAGTCATTTGTAATATACTTAATATACCTAGTGACATGACTTTATGTTCTGTTATAAGGTGTAAGGATTTTAATTTTTTTATTATTAGTATAAGCATTTACTTTATTTAATCTAATTCTAATTTTATGCTAACGTAAGCATTAAGCATCAAGTTACATCTTTCATTCAATCAACACCAATTTCACTGCAGTAAGTAATTGATTCAATCAAAGTAAATTTGCTGCTCATTGAATTTATTTCAGGATTTCTATCAGTTCAAGAAAAAGCAGGTATACCGCAAGAATTCGCGAAACCTAATTTGCGTGAAGCTCGAATAGTTTCTCTTAAAAAATTCAATGATAAAATTTCAAAGATTGATAAAATGATTTGCTTTTAGCTACAACATGAGCATCCAATACCATCAATATCTTTTATCATAACATACAAAATCCGCCTGAGTAGCCGAAGGCGAGGAATCTCGACTAGCAAGTCATTGGTCGTGGGTTCGAATCTCAAGTGCGGTAGAGTTTTTAATAATAGCCGATAGCCTTCGATGCTAGTGCTTTTAAGAGTTTATTTAGTCTTAGAATTTATTTCTCTGGCGAAATTAATAATAATAATATCATAACATAGCCATTACATGGCGATCCACATTATCGTATATCCTGCATATTCATGACATGTTATCTTAATTAATCAACTGTTTCGAGGCATTCACAACAGCTTAGGTAGCTTACGTACGGAAATTAAAATTTGCTAAAGAATTTACGCATTTTGCAAAGAATTATTTGGATTTGAGTTGATATTCCTGATTAGTGTAAGCTGCTGAGTGTAGTGTTAATCCCTTGCGGAACTATAAAAGTCGTAGATATAAAAAGGGTTAAATATACGTCTATCCATCCATTTTCTGCTTGAAAGTTTATCTTAAAACTCGTAAACCATTTAAGGGCTCTTGCCTAGTAGCCTAATAGATAAGAACTGCGACTATTTCGTCAGCGTAGCCATATTGCATTTCCACTGAAGTAGACAATACTTTAATTACGATTGAAGTTTGTGCTCGATTAATAATGGCTTAGAGCACTTCCCAGGCACCGGTCATACTGTGTCATAGTGCTTTCTTCTCACTTCTTTCTGCCTAGTTAATATACAGTTTCTACCCACATATATTGGCTGATTATAGATGAAAAAATATTTATGAATTTGTGGATTGCTAGAAAATTCTCATCATTTGCGTAATGTTATCCTTTTAATTCCAAAAAGAAAAATTAAATTTTCATAAAGTGTTCTTTAGATATGTTAACTAATTAAATTAATTATTTATTATAATTCCAAGGGAAAGTTAAGATAATGGTCTCATTCATTAAATTTATCGCTGTTGAAAACGAACACAGAAGCGAAGTGAAGATAAATGACAAAAAAATATATATATATACAAATAAATAAATAAATAAATAAAAATTTCAACTCTAATGGAAATGGATTTGTAGATAGATAGCGTGAAGTAAAAATTTCACAAGTTAAAAAAGGGAAAAACGAAAATTAATTAATAATAAACGTAAATTTCCTTTGAGAGAAACCGAGAGAAAGTGCTAAAGAATGGCGTAAAAGAAGAAGATGATACTTTACCATTAATTTAAGTTAATTGTAATTTCCGTAATTTTAAGCAAATCAACGCAACACCATCATCACCATCATCACGTCTTCATATTATTCACAGATGATTCAAAGAAATAAATTTTAAAAGATATAGCAACCAATCAGCGCATATAATAATAATGATAATAATAACAATAATAATAATAATGACGACCGACAGAAGAGTCTATACGTTTATATGTAGGCAAAATTTTCTTAAATTGAAAGTATATTTATCTAGCATATGTATGTATGCGAGAATAAATCATATTTTATAAGATTTCATATTCAGATTTTTCATCGGTTTCAGTAAAAATAAAAAAAAAAAAACCTCATTCTATTTTATTATCGCCCATATATATACTACACTAATACACTTACACTTTAAAGTATACATATATATATATATATATATGCGCTTCTTCTCGCTTCATTGCTTTGGCAATTGAATTTAAACGACAGATGAACTGAACTGATGTAGTAAACGAATACACGGACAGTTTGTATGTAAGTCACGGCTGATGGCAATGATGCTGGTTAGACGGCAGGCAAGCGGAAACCCCAATTGAACTGAACTTAAATAGAAAAAAGCAAGAAGCAAGAAGCAAGAAGCACTTGAATTTGCACACACAATGCAACGGAATAGCGTGAAAATCAACAAGAATACATTTGTTACTGTTGCCTAGACATGGACAGACTTGCTTTCGCTTCTCCGCTGACCTCTTGTTAGCATAAGTCATTGATTGTGTTGTTCTTGCTGTTGATTATTATTTTGTACGAATTAGATTAAATTTTAGATAAAAATAAAAAAAATGAGTAAATCTTACTTTCCAACATTTCGTTTTGTTCTACACCATATACTATCTATCTATCTATCGCTATGTGAATAAAAAAAAAATTTCATCTTGGAAATGAAAAAAAAAAAAAACAACATACTTTCTTGCATACTCTGCTTTTACGCATCAGATCAAACGTAATCAGGCGTAAAATCCAATTCGATGCATTCTCTCTATGAAATCATGACACAAATGAAAAGAATCATAAGAAAGTTAGAGCTTGGATGGCGTTTATAAATTTCGCTGCTATTTCCATCATACCATAAATATATGATTTTTGCTTAAAATGATATGGATCTCGAATCCCATGATTCAATGAAAGCCAGAGATTATATAGAATTCCATCCCGAGAAGGAAGCTTCAAAGATCTCATTATATCATATATATATATATATATTCTTGATCAAAATCGAATTCCAAAACGACCTACATAAGTCTGTCTATGTATTTGTCGGTTTGTTCATGTGCCCATCTACTTACTATGATAGATATCTGTTGTAAGCATTCGCTTAGGCGTGATAATTAAGATATCTTGCAAGCAGGTTGGCATTGAAAATGCGTCCAATCTGTAAAAGAACACGCCTACGATACAAAGTAAAATGCGCACGCCTCTGCCTCTTGTCGGTAGACAAGTGGACTCCTAAATTACTAAAATCGTAAATTACTAAACTGCTTAACTTCTAAGCTGTTAGCTACTAGGCCGCTAGGCCACCAAACTACACTGCTACAAACTTGAAAGCCTTTAAACAGTGCATATAGCATTGTACACTTGTGCGTTAATA